AGTCAGAAGATATGATGAAAACTCCTTCAACTCATAACCTATGCATAGACTTAAGGTGGCGCAGTGGTTAGGGTGCAGTACTGCAGGCCACTTCAGCTGACTGCTAGCTGCAGTTCGGCAGTTCAAATCTCACCGACTCAGCCTTCCATCCTTCCGAGGTGGGTGAAATGAGGACCCAGACTGTGGGGGCGATATGCTGACTCTGTAAACCGCTTAGAGAGGGCGGTATATAAGTCTAAGCGGTATGAAGCGGTATATAAGTCTAACTGCTCTTGCTATTGCTACCCAGTGTCTAAATGGCTCTGGAACCTGGTTGTTCTCATTAAAACATTTCCCTTTGTTTTCCGTAAGATGTTGGCTTAGTTCTACATCTAAGCTTTGCACTTTTGGTTTAGTAGCCAGTTAGGCCATGGCTTAGCCATTAAAGATGCTGAGCAGGTCAGCTGGAAAGCTGACAGCCCAGGTTCGAGACCCGAGTGCCACCGGACAGGGTGAGTTCCTATGACTTGCTCCAGTTCCCGCAAACCTAGCAGTTTGAAAGCATGCAAATGTGAATAGATAAATAGGTACCACTTCCCGTTCCATGCACCCTTGGCATCTATCCATGCTGTAGACCATAGACCATGGACAATGTCTTCGGACAACGCTGTCTCTCTCAGCTAAGAAATGGAGATAAGCACTGCCCCCTAGAGTCAGATACAACTGGACAAGGGAAATTGTTACCTTTTGCCTTTATCTTATGCTTAGTCTTTATTTGTAATTCTTTGTTTTATTCTCTATTTAGGTCCACCGGGATTGCCAGGTAATATATATTTTCTTTTCTGGCCTTATTGTCTTGGTCTTACTGAAAAAACAAACAAACCATTATGAAAATTCTCCTCAATTTATCTGGCTCTCTCAGTTTGCTTCTCATTCCTCTACGATTTGCTGACTTTTTAATTGGAAATTTGCTAGAGTTGGCCACTTGGAACTCCCGAATGAGCTCTGGGTGTTAGTAGAATTTCCAAAGCAAAAAGAAGAATAATGTTATTGAACCATGGTTGGGTTTGATCACAAGTAAACCTGCTTTTGGTTTAGTGAAAATCAACCCCTTACAACTGCTGAACCATGGTTGATGGTTTGATGTGCTCCATGTGTAAATCCTATGTGTTTATGCAACGTAACAAACCATGGCTTAGCCTGATACAATGCTCAGGTGATTGGGGGCCAATAACCTGTTCAGATGACCTTGGTTGTGATGGAGAAACGAGCCCTTTTCTCCTGCCTCTCCCCGCCATGAACTATCATTTGTGAAGCACTAACATGGTCTTAAGGGACACGGTGGCTCAGTGGCTAAAACGCTGAGCTTGTCAATCAGAAAGGTCAGCAGTTCGAATCCCTAGCGCCGTATTACGGAGTGATCTGTTATGAGCCGAGGTGGCGCAGTGGTTAGGGTGCAGTACTGCAGGCCACTTCAGCTGACTGTTATCTGCAGTTCAGCGGTTCTAATCTCACCGG